GACCGTTAATTTATCGAGTGCCTTTCGATTGAAGAACTCGAAGAACTCCTCAAATGAAACAGGCAACAGATCAGTTCCAACGAGGTCGTTCTCCTCTTTAATTCTCAGATACAAAGTATTCGTTCCCCCAGACTCTCTGCGGGTTTTTATGTACCAATTATGGAATCTTCGCATCATCGTTGTTAGAGATTTTTCATCTTTGACGAGAGGCTTCCCGTACTCGTATCTGTGTTCGACCACCTCCATGAAATCAAAATTTACATCGTCAGGCAGGTAATCTGCAAGATTGCTATAACCGGGCACCGTCCCCGGAGCATTAGCGACGATGTCGCCGCTATACACATTGAGCGGGGGCCACGATTGATTTGCTTGTTCGCCGAGCTGGGCAAATTTTTTCGCAGCTGCTCGTTCTTTTGACCTTTGATGTTTGACAGTACTTCCCGACCGCTCCGCTTCGAGATATGTCTGTTCAGTAATGCTCTCATAGTTGGTTCTCGGCGGAGACTTTGGTGGTTTCCTCAGGGTATCGATAGTGCGCTTTGCTTTCACCGGATCTACCTTCTCCTACGGAGGTGGATGTCTCTTTGCTTTCAACCCTTTAAAGAAGTCCTCCACTTCGGTCCGCACGATCTTCGCGTTTTCCTCCTCGGTCCTCTCATACGGTAACCTCTCTAGAGGCTTGAGAGAAGGACCGTATATGTATTGCCTCCCGCCTTTGGCTGTACTGCTAGGCGCCGGAGCAGACGGAGCGGCTGCGGCGTCTGTCTTCTTTCGTGCTTGCTTACGAGGCGGAGGAGAAGGACTACGACGCGTCGGAGCATCCGGGGCGGCGGCGGTTCTCTTCCGCCCTTGCTGGCGAGGCGGAGAAGGAGGAGGCTGCTGGCTGCTCGGGCACGCCGGTGCAGGCAGAGAAGGAGGCGGAGTGCCGCCATGTGCTGGAGAAGGAGGCTGAGTGCACTGATCATCACTCGCCGGTGGAGGAGGCGGTGGAGGAGGTGGAGTGCCCTGACTCAGCGGCGGAGGAGGAGGAGGCGTCCAGTTCGGAACCTTGATGAACTCCTTCCGCCATAGGCATGGAGTCTTCAGAGCAGAACCCAGCCGAGTCTCCCCTTCACCGGTAGGGTGGTCAAGCTGAAGGTTCTCAAATCCCTCTGTTATTTCGTCCACCGTCACCCTAGCATATCCTTCTGAAATCAGACGACAGTGAAAAGTTACGCCGGGTTTAGAAGGTCGAACTTGGCCGACAGCCGCCTTGACTTTTAAGTTCTGCCATTGCGTCATAAGGTGGCAATTTTGAGACTCCGTGATAAAATCCACGGGGTAGCTAGCAGGAGCCGTCAAGACATGCTCCGGCTGAAGCAGCTCGGTGGAAGCCACACTGCTTCTCCGCTGAGATGGAGGGGTAGCTTCGGTAGGTCGTTTGCTGCGATCTGCTTCTCGTTCCTCTAGCCCTTGTACCCTTTCGTGCAGCGTGTGCAGTTGCCTATGCTCCACTTTCTTCCTCCTCTCCTGGGTTTTGTAACCCCCTGCGTCCGGAAAACCAACCTTCCACGGAATGGAGCCTGCCGTGCCTCGTGTCTATCCAGGGTGCTCAGGATTCCCGAGCGCCATTGTGAGCTCGTCGTTCTCCCTATCTGGAACGAACGTCCCTTGCTGCGCTGCATCGATATAGTGTCGAAGCCTCTTGACTGGTATTTTCAGTTGCTCGTCCGTCCAATGGCACTTCCCTGATACAGGGTCCAAGGTTCCGCCAGCCCCGAAGAACCAAGTCCGAAAACGGTCTGGCCAGTTCATTGTCTCTGGTTCGATTCCTTTATCAAGCAGATCACTCTCAGGCTTGGCCCACTTAGGCCGGGCTTTGAGGTAGCCACCTTACCCCGTGCGATGGTGAAACTTCTTCTTCGCGGCATTTTGCTTGTTTATCGCCGACATCTTCTTACTCTTTTCCGATGTCTTGTGGGCCACAAATGCGGGCCAGTGATCTCTGATCTTCTCATATTTGCCGATGAATTCTGGTGTCTATTCTTTGTCGACAAACTTTTTCAGCTCTTTCCTCCACCTCCTGAATAGGCCTGCCATCTTCTTAAGAGCAAAAGACTTGATTAATTGCTCAATAACTGGCTTCTCCGGATTCTCCTCTGGCGGTAGGGTGAAATTTGCCTTCAGCTCAGTCCAAAGATCATCTTTCTGCATATCATTGATATAAGACACCTCAGGGTCTTCGTTCTTAGGCTTATACCATTGGTGGATGCTGATCGGGATCTTGTCCCTAAGAAGAACCCCGCACAGAGCAGCAAATGCGTTCTTTGTCCGGATGGGTTCAATCGGCTCGCCGTCGCGCGCGATTGCTGTGATCTCAAACCTTTCATCCGAGCTCAACTTTTTCTTCGGGCCTCGTCTCCTTACCGAAGTTGTGCTCGATCCGGAGGGCTAGAAAAAAGAAGAAATACGAGATGTATATGTATGCAGATTGAAAAAATGGAGATGCCTCATTTAACTCGAAAATTCAGAGCTCTATCGGCATTTCTTTGAACATTATTTGAGTAGTTATGATTCCCCTTCTGAACGGGCGTTAAACAATTTGAGCTGCATATAGCTTCAACTAAAGTAGTTCAATTTTATGTGTTGGCACTGTAAGTCAGCAAACTAGTAATTTCGGGAGTTCAACCATTCTCATAGATACTGATTTTCAGGAAAGATACTTTTCTATGGAGCAAGAAGATGAGGCTTTACCCACCAAGGAACATTGAGGCGTCTCCAACATTTATGCTCTGGATTGTAGCGGATGGAGATGGATTACTGCATTTCCTCGTCCAACTGTTTGTTTGTCCTTTTATCTCTAAGATGATGCATGATCACGTAGGCTTTGCTTGGGTTTCTCCTGTATTGTAATAAGGCTTGATGGTGGGCAGGAGTTGGCACTTGTTACTTGCTCCTCCCTCGACTAGCCAGCCAGGGATTATATGCACTTGTTATTGTTGCGTGTGTAGGTTGGTTTCTTGCATCTGCTCCTTATTTGCATGTTTCAAAAGGACAAATGAGATGTTGTATTTGCTGCTCCTATGCAAGTTTGTGTTGGATCGCTAGATGTTGTATCAATAGGTTCTTTTCCTTTGGAAATGGATGCCACTGTATATATTGTCAGTAGCAGGGCATGGGAAAGTTTCTGAATATGTTGTGTACAGGGGCTTGGATAAATCATTTTCAACTCCGCTAGTAGCTTCTCAGGGTCCGTATGGGCCGTCCAATTGATGAGCAGCAAAATGGCCAGACACGCCCCAATTGTATAATAGTGAAAAAAGCCGGGTTCCATTAACCTGTCGATACAAGTAAGCCCAATCTATCATCGATCTCACAAGATCGCGTTTTTTTTTCTTTCTTTCGGAATCCCGGCGAAAATAAGCACCCTGTTAAGTGGGACAAGGAGTTGCAGAAGTATTTGGACATCGGCTCAGGAGATATCCGCTAGTGAACGATTCATACAATACATTGTTTCTTCTAGCTAGACCTCCAATTGTCTTTGCAGTTCACTGGTTCAACCAAGCTCAGAGGTTCAGTGGTTTAGGAACGGTCAGCACCTAAAAGTTCAGAGATTGGAATACACTTGAAATGCTGTAATCGGGGGGAATAACGTACGTGTAACGCGCACGCGCGCGCACACACACACATCATAGCTTCTGACACCGGCATCGGCATTGAACAAGCGAATACATCAGACCCAAGCATCACTTTCGAATACATCGGATCCACACATCACCTTCTCTTCCTAGACCACAACACGCTCAGAGGAACCAACTCTTCTTCCTAGACCACATGGCACCAGCACCTGTTGATAGAAGAAACATCTTGAGCTTACCATATGAACAGGGCACCGATAGGAATATGTACAAGCCTACCAAGTAGGCACGCACAACAAGCATCAAATATATCGATTGCTGAATCCGATGCATCAAGTTGACGCTGGATATTTGCAAGGAGCTGACTATCACATTGGCCACTAACAGTAAATTACATGAAAAGAAAGAACATGCTAACCAGAGAATAAGACTTCAAATATGTACTCTGCACCCATCCTGCTGAGCACATGGCACCAGGCCACAAGATGAAATTTCTCTATGCGCATATGTAAGCAACCTTAGAGTTCATACGATAAGAATGCACTACACTGACTGATTTATTCAAGAAGGAAACAAGGCCATGGGCTCATTGCAGATGTAAGAGATGGTGGGCTTGATAAGCAGATGCAGAGGACACAATAATGTGGCTAAAAGGGGTGTAGATGAAGAAATGATATGATACAACAACATAAGGAACCTGATTAAATACATTATGGCCAGGGAAACAAAAGCATAAAGTGACCTCCTTCCTGTTTAGCAGTTGTTTAGCAGTTCAACAGCAGACAATCAACAAACAACCCAAAATAAACAGTTCCACTAAATTGACTTGCGGCAATCCATATTCATATGTGGAGCTACTAGGCGAACTATCAGTGTTTTATAATACTGATTTCTGGAGTAAACTGTAGTGGATTGTAATCACATAAAATAAACTGTCAAAGCTAACTCATTTCTTTCCAAAGTGCTGCTCTGAGCTGTTGTAATTTGATAATTTCTACTCATAGGCAGGTTACATATAAAAATAAAGAAACTGGAAATAATCTAATGATGTGAACAACTATTCATATATAGTTCAAATTACAAGGCCAAGGGCAGCTCTGGAGAACTAGAATATTGCAACAAAGAGGCTTCACAAGATAATAAACGAATATTAATAGTTTTCCTTAGTCTAATGAGTTTCCAACTGCACAATAAATTATGCATTAGATTATCACGTAGATGCCACCAACAATAGTTAACCTGTAAAAGAGCTACGCTCGCAAGAAATAAGCAGAATGGAAAAGAAAATTATCCTCAAATAAATAGTTGAATCGTTTTTTTTTTGTTGTTGTATAAAACAGAGATCAAGTTAAATAAAAGTAAGCAGACAAGATGCTCACCGCTTCATATAGTTGGCACAGACAATGATGGTGGAAAACCAACATATAGTCGATCAGGTAAGGGGGCTTCAGTAAGCTCCGCGAACAACTCGATCTGCAATGTCTTGACGTCCACGGAAAGTAATTCAAACTTGAGCTTCTCATGTGAAGATGTGGTGTGCAGCGCTACCATGAGCAGGTATCCCCCGCCTACACCAACCAGAGTAGCCTTTACCGGCAACGGGATGAACTTCTCCAAGTGCCATTGGTTATTCCTCAGAGAAGAATACTTCATCAAATATGTGTCATCTTCGCTGTCCTGGTCTTGGACTTTACTGAGCATTCCGAGCATTCCTTGTGGCGCCTCGACAATGACAAAACTGCTACTCCATCCTAGTTCAGGTGGAAGGTCGACAGCAGAGAAGTCCATGGTGCGTGGATCAAGCAGAACCAACTTGTTCAGGAAGAGCAAACGCCAACAGAAGCATCCGTGGACAAACTGACGATCAAACAGCCCATCCTCAGCTGGCGGCCGATCAAACGCAGCCCGAGGAGCACTCCATTGGTAAAATGCAAGAGAACGCCACTGCCCATCCAAAGAGGAGAAGACAAACAGCATATTCATTCTGCATTGCACCAAGCACATGACCCTGAATGATAAAGGGTCCTCCTCATCATCGCCCGGAGCAAGGAAAGTCTCCAGATCGCGGAGTTCCCGTTCATGGACCAGCGCTTTCAGGTCGGCCGGGACGGCCGGCAGCAGGATGTAGCGGCGGTGCACGGGGTCGCACACGGCGAGGTCCCTGACCAAAAAATTGTGGTACTGGAAGCGGCGCACACCAAGGACGCCGCTTTCTTCTTCGACTGGGGCGCCGGCGAGGAGGGCGCGTCCGTCCAAGAAGTCAATTGGCCTCCAGGTACGGCCGGCGGTGGAGGGGAGGAAGGAGGAGCAGGAGAAGTCGAAGCTGGTGAAGGCGCGGGCGGCGACGGCGGAGGGGTGCGGTGGCTTGGCCAGGATGAAGGTACCGTCGCCGACCGCTCCGATGAGAGGCGGCGGGTGGAGGGCATGGTAGCGGCGGAGGAAGGCGTGGTCGGTGATGAGACGGCGGAAGGAGGGGCACACCGCGGAGGCGCGGGCTAGGTCAACAGCACTGGGGAGACGGAGGAAGATGTCGTGAAGGAGCGCGTCTGGGGTTCGGAAGATCGGCGTCTCCGGCGGTGGTGCTGGCTACGGCGGCGCCATCCGGGAAGTGGGGATCTACTATTTTTTTCTTTTTGATGAAGGGTGGGGATCTAGTTTTTTTTTTGAGACAAAAGAGTAGGGATCTACTGACAGAATGGGCATCTCTTATGTGGCTTCTTCGATGGGCTTGCTGAGGGTTGGGCCTCCTAAATGTTCGTTTTTATGGCCTTTCCATTTATTCATCTAGATAGCCTGAAAATTTTGTATTCATTTAGAGCCTGATGAACAACCTGCTGCATTATTTGGAAAAATATGTTAGTCACCCTCAAATATTCATGTTAGTCGAACGGTGGCTCATATTCTTCGGCGTTTGGTACAACCGTGTTTTGGCGTGACCCTTTCGGTAAATACACAAAGTTTGCGTATTATTCCATTGAGAGAAGAAGTTCAGAGTGAGTACAAGAGGTGGTACGACACATGACATGAACGCAGAAGGCATGAATATGATGCCCGGAGCAAAGAGACAACATATGCTCGGCCCAAGCAGAGAAACACCATAACACAACTCGTCAGGAAGCCACTCGGACCAAAACAAACCATGACAACCAACATTTCCAAAATGACTGTCGAGGACGCCGCGAGCAGATCTCCTTCACGAAGGAGAACGACGTCGAGACATCGTCGCCTCCCGATCCGAAAAACCAGACCTAGGGTTTTCCCTGATGCTCAAAGAGGGGCACAAATAACGGCCATGGAAACGCCTCCAAGAAGGGGACCCCCGTGGGTGTCGATGCTGCCAGCATCGAGTCAATCAAGGAATTCACCCTGGCCAAAGTCTGAGCAATGCCAAGTCGTCGGAGCCAGAATCGAAGATGGAGATATCAGGTCGCAGGCCAGAACCACCACCATAGGAAGGGGAGCTACGCCTGTTGTCGAAGAGGCACCGGACGCCGCTGGAGGTGAGAGCTACAGATCAGGCAGAAGGGCGCACGGGGCACCAAGGTGGGCGAGGTTGGAGGACCGAGCAAAAGGAAAGAGGCGGCAAGAGGTGGCGCGATGGTGGCCAGACACCCGGACAAGCAAAGATCCGGAAAGGGGAGCAGATCTGGGCTGCTGGGACCGGAGCCGCATGGACGTCGGCGAACCGAAACTACTTTGGAGGTCTGAAAAGTTGCATATTAGCTATGGAGCCGTACCGAGCTCGGCTAAAGAGGTGATCCATCACATTTTTCTTTGGTGGCTATTGTGATGGTGCCGGAAGCAGGTGACGGGTGTTGGAATTTTTTGTGTTTGGCCATGGAAGAACCATGAAACAAGCACTCATGTAATTTCTTCGGGTTTTAGAATTTTCTTGTTAGTATTCCTTCCATTCCAAAATAAGTGTCGTGATTTTAGTTCACATTTGAACTAAAACCATGACACTTATTGTGAAAGGAGAACATACATAACTATCCATTTTTATTTAGTTGCAAAATTGGCAAGTATTCTAGAAACCTTCGTCAGCTTTATTTATAACTCTATACCATGATATTTCAGGAAATATAATAGATACAAACATCATTGTATATACTAGCAATTCATTTAATTAACACCATAGAATAATGAACGAAGATTAAATAATCATTTTTCTCTAATCTAAAAAATGGTTAAATCCAAATAAATAAATGTTTAGTAAAGCAAACAATTACATCACACGCTTTTATAATATATGCTTCAGATTTAGTTAAATTGCACTTGCACGACCGGTGCTAAAAATGTATAATAAAAAGAATGTATGTTTACCAAGTTAATAACTACAATAAAAATTTGTAGTATTTAAGATCAAATCACAAAAAGATAAATTATAATTATAAATAAGTATCAGAAGTTAGTGTAAATAAATGATAGTTGTCTAGTTGAACTCATCAATGAGCCACTAATTTATTTGACCCGGCCAACTTTAGCTGCAATGTCTACAATACAACATAAGAGGACAAACTGACATAACAAAATTAAATTATAAGTTTTATGCTAGTGTGAGTGTTGTTTCTTAATAATTTATTGGTTCTTAAGATACAGATTTATGCAATATTTGGATGTCTTAGTTAGGCTAGTTTGTTGTTGATTCGCAAATCTTAGTCCGACTTGTTCCTTGATAATTTGGCCAAGTTCTGGACTTGTTGATTTACTTATGATTTACGGATCTCAGATCTGTTGATTTCTAATGATTCACAACTTCTTATATCTATTGATTTCTTGATTATTCTCAACTTCTTAAACTGTTCTTTTCTCGATGATTTCCAACTTCTTAGACCTATTTCGCAACTTCTTGGCTATTATTTTGATGATCTGTGAATTCTTAGCTTGTTAGTTTCTTGACGATTTGAAACTTTTTGGCCTTCTCCCTTCCCGCTCATCGCTTTATCCCAATTAAGCGAGCCAATGTTGAAACTGTTTTTCTTGCACCTGTTCGTTTATTGATGATTTATCGATTCTTAGCATGCTGGTTTCTTGATGATTCAGAGCTTCTTGCCCTCCTCCCCTCCCACTTACGCTTCATCCCAGCACCTTAATTTTTGGCACACAATTCCTTAATTACTACTCCCTCCATTCACTATTATAAGATGTTCGTTCTAAATCGGATGTCTGAAGACATGTTTTATATGGCATTTTTGCAGTTTAACTATTTAAAGTACCAAAACTATTTGAACTGCAAAAATGTCTTACATTTGTGTATCTATAGAGTCCCCATACATATCAAGCAACATTATTTCCCTTTCCTTAATGTCAAATCAGTCTTATTCCTTCTTCCTTCAACCAAACTCGCCATGTCCATATCCTTCGGGTAATGGCAACCCTGTAAAATATAGAGGAGAAGATTAACACTCCATATTGAGAGAGCAGATCAGTGGGTTTGTTCCATCATCTCAGTGTGTTCTTTCCTGGTATTCTTTTCACTTTGATAAATTGACAACATAATAGGTACTACTATTGTACATCAATATTATATTATTCTAGAGTATAAATTAACTCAAGACCATGAAGAATGCTAAAAATAAATATGTAAATGCTGCCCATGCGATGTTCTCAAAGCCCTTGCATTTCTCTGAACAGGCCATATGTTGATTTCAACGGTGCAAGTTGTATGCACAATCCTTCGTGTATGTGGCAGGAAAAAATATCAATGAGCTTCTAATTTCTGCACCAATGAACATACAGCAGAATCAAACCTTTTGTAGTTAATCAAAGCTAGAAAACAAAGAGATTCGTGGGGGGAGAATTAGAGGTTGTCTGTTTGCTAGCCCCGGCATAGCCGTTTCGCTCCAAATATATCGAGAGAACCAACGCTCTCAGGAAAATAAAAAGATTGCCTATATACAGTAGCGGATCTAGCCCAATGAGCCAGGGTGGGCCAACAGTAGAATTGTTCACAAAAATTAAAAAAATTCTTAATATCTTTTAGCATTTTTCCTATGCTATAAAGCTATTCAAAAAATCCCAGGGTGGTCCGTGGCCCACCCTGTCCACCCTCTACCTCCGCCACTGCCTATATACATGCAACAACAATCTGTGATGGTGGAACGAATCCACAGATCTGTGAAGACATCAGGCAAGCAAGTGAACGACCGATTTGATACCTTACATGTGCGATTCATGACAAATGAAATAATCGTCTTGCAGATGGTGCCAGCCAGATGCATGCAGTGCAGCCATGCATGTACTATGTCTTGGAGATGGCGGAGTGAACTTGTGATCTTCATTATTCACATATCATCTTGTCGACCAGGATCAAACAATTCTCTGAAAATTAAAAGAAAACTAAGAGTAGCACAGTGAAGGCATCAATTGGCGCACCGGACAAGAGAATCAATTTTTTGACGTTGAATCAAGGCCGCTGGAGTTCGCAGACGCGGCGGTTGGGCATCGGGATATCGGCATGCCGAAGGGCCGGTGTCGGGGAAGGGCAGTCCGCGCCTCCATCCCGCCGCGTTGTCAACGCTGAGGATGGAAGCCGGCCGGCGCTGAAGTGTGCGTCCGCGGCGTCGCGACAACGAAGCATGTGGGAAGGCGGCGGAGCGGATGTAGTACTCGCAGGTCACTCGTGTCACGGTGGAAAGTCGATGCCAGTGATGCATCGATCAGAGGTTAGGGCGGGACGAAGCAGCATCATAGTTGTAGGCCTGTTGCGGAGAGAATCCATGCCGCCGTGAGATTGGAAGGTGGCCGTGGTTTGTGGAGATTTTTTAGGGCCGTGAATCATGGGAGTAATGGGAGAGGATTTTACTGGAAACAAAACCGAACGACATGTATTTCGGAAGAAAAAAGGAAGGACGGGAGGCGGGACGATGGACGTGCAAGGGCGGACCAAACAAGCGACGTAAGAGGGGAAACGGAACCTTACGGTTCTTTTATCTCTACTCGTAATTTCTCAGTTGGTAGGTCGCGTTCCGGGTTTTATTTTCGTCCCACCTTACCCGGTCTTT